ATATTATGATATAGATAAATTTATTGTACTACAAGGTACATTAATTTAACATACAATTTTATATCCTAGCAAATTAAATTTAAATTTTTAAATATTTTTTTCCTATAGGTATTACTTTATAAATTTTATATATTTATGAATTAATATATGAAGTATATAGCCAATTTAAAAGCAAATAATTGTGTATACTATAGTTGTCAATGCCAAAAATAAATAATTTAATTATTCTGATTTTAATCATTCATAGAACAAGATATTATATTTCTTTACATTATTTGATTAATTTATAATAATTTATAACAAATCAAAATGAAAAGAATATTCAGAAATGCATTCATTATTACAAAAATCTTTACTTCATTTGCTATTCACAAGACGAATAACTGTAAAATTATTATACGACAAATGGATAGTCCAACAAGAATTAAGTCTGAAGGAAAATACAAGAAATAATTAGCGTCAAAATAAAAGATTATGAAGAATTAATATAAATTCTTCATATTCTTTTGACACTAATCATTTCTTGTATTTCCCCTTCAGACTTACTTTTTGTTTGATTATCCATTTCTGGTGAAATAACTTTACAGTTATTTGTCTTGTCAATACCAGATGAAGTAAAGTTTTAGATAAAAAAAAAATAATCACTTTATCATCAACATTTTAACAAATACAATCATAACGCTCAATAATGAACAATTACAACAAGTATACGAATTCTGTTACTTGATAACTGATGATAACAAATCTACGAAAAAAATAAGAAAACGAATTACATTAGCAAAACAAGCATTCGAGAAAAAACGGACACTTCTTACTAATAAACATCTAAGTTCAAGTTTAAGAAAGAAATTCGTAAATACATACATTTAAAATATATTATTATATGGTTGTGAATCATGGACGATAGGAAAATATGAAAAAAATAGACTGGAAGCTATGGAGATGTGGATGTGGAAGAAAATTACTAGAAAAAGCTGGATAGAATATAAGACAAATGAAGCATTATTGAATGAGATCAATGAAGAAAGAACAGTGATGAATACAATAATTAAAAGAACAATAAAGCTAATTGGACATCTACTAAGACACAATGTGTTCATCATTAAAATTATGGAAAGAAAAATAGAGGGAAAAAGATCCAGAGGAAGACTGTGTAAGTCCTTTGAAGAAATCTCCTGTCGAATGGGTTGTACCTCTTACCAAAGTTTCAAAAAGATGGCATATGACAGACATGATTGGCTACAATAACAAAGCTTGGCCTTTAGCCAAGATGATATAAATTAGTTGAATAGAAATTAGTCAAATAAAATATTTGTTAAGCTATCATAGTTTTATACTAGAAGCTATTAATAAAAAAATAAAAATAAAAAAAATATTAATTAAATAACTAACACGTAGAGTAATTAAATCAGTCGCACAGTATTACCGACGGTCGGATAAGTCGGTAGGAATTAGTCTCTTCTGCCCATCACAACTAAAATACTGCCAATACCAAATAATATAAAGGAAATGAGTATTTACTATTTATATATTTATAATAAATAAAGAAATACAAATATTGAATTAATTTAACAAATTTAACTGAAGTAAAACAACAATAAAGATTTTTTAATTAGTTTTTACATTTACAGTAATTTTATGGTGGATTATACGGCACTGCAACCATAACTTTATGAAAGGTCACGATTAATATAACGCCGAGAGGGACTTGCAATCTCTATAATCTATAAATCTTGATGGATTTCGGCATCTTTATAATGATGCATCAAATATAATCAGTTAGATTTTTAGTATTTTTATATATTTATGATTATTATTGAAACTTGACTATATATTATAAAATACCACGGATTCCATAAAAATATAATCTAATCGATGATAATATAGAAAAAATTTTCTTTTTCTTACATATGATTGCATTTTGATAAACCATTTATCCCCATAATGTTGTATGAATTATTGAGTTATTCAAAAATAAATCTAAAAACTATAAACATTATCGTAACTACGATCCATAGGGTAATAAGAATAGTTTTATAACTAATATTCGTATTACTTTATGATCCAATCCAGCTGTTAGCGGAAACATTTTTTTGAATTATAATTATTATAAGTGTTCACGCCGTTAATATGTTGGTAGTATGTCAATATTTTGTAATATGTTTTTTATAATTTTCGTGCGATGTTTAGTGATGCGTTGCATTATTGGAGTACTAATCGTTCGATGCCGGCGTATGTCTCCGTGGACGACTAATTAGTTCCGCGTAAGCAATTATCACCATGCGAAAATAATATTTTAGTCTTGGTTTATTTCGATTATGGTTATGTTCTTAGTAAACGCATGATAAAATTATTTATTATACCACGGTATGAAAAAGGTGATTGCAAACAAGAACACGTTATACAACGACAGACAAAACACTACGAAGGTTACAGCTGAGGGAGACACTATTCTAACGATTAAATGCTTCACTGACATCACAATAAACTAAACACATGAGAACTTAAAAACCATATGTGGTACTGAAAAAATGACTTACATTTACTGGTGATATAATAAATCAGGTATGATGCACTGTTTTTTGATACGCATTCTTCATACACGCTTTTTTGTCTCCTATAACTTCAATAGTGCAATATGGTGCTAGACTTTCGCCCGTTTTTCATTCGTTGTACTTTATATTATTGTGATAGGCACATACTTCGATAATTTGTCAAATTATGGTCAAACATGATTACTTGAACTTATATATTATTTCATACTACAAATAATAGAGAATTTACTTGTATAAAATAACTTATTAAAGATTAATAAAACGAAAAATTGGATTTTTAATATTTATTTAATGAGTAAATATTTTTACTAAAAAGGTTTTTTTAGTAAGAACAAGATAATTAGTTAACACCAAAAGGGTTTAAAGTTTTGATCATAAATGAACCAATGAGAAGTGGCAAAAAATCAGCACCATATTTGCGCAACGTGAGACTGAAATACGGCTAATGACATCATACCTAGTTTATTATAATATTATCATGGTTCATACCAAATTTTTCTAGTTGTTTTATAAATCTTTTTTTGGTAAATATCAACTATTTATTTGCCGTTTTCATTAATTTTTATTATTTTTTCACCAGTAGGTTATCGTTCATCGTTACCGGTGATTGCATTGTGTGTGACGTTATAATAACGTTAATAACGTTGTACTTGATGTAGTGTATTGTCCGGCTGCAGCAGTAGAGTTGTGAGTCAATAATTACATATTGTTTTTAATTGTATTAATTGTTATATTAATTACGGATTCTGGCACTGCAGCGCATCATAACTACACAAGGTAGGTGGTGTACCATCAATTATAATTATTGTTTATTATATTGTAATTTTGCCACTGTAGGGCCAACCGTTTCATTTAATTTTTATATTTTTAAGTTTAGTTGCTAGTGGCCAATGCAGGTTAGGTTAGGTTCAGGGCCAACCTTGTTATTTAATAGTCTCTAAGTGACAGGAGACACTTTTTCATTTTTTTCCAGTAACCAAATGCTTAATTTTAAATAGTATTTCAAATTTAAATTGTTTAATTATTTTATATTTCTTTGACTTCTACGAGTACATTTTTAAAGCCAGCAATAATTTAATTTATTAATTAAATATATAAACAAATTAATTTTCTTTGTATTATGTTATTATTTATTTTAAACAATTTTAAATATTATATTTTTAAACCTAGTGATAATAAAATATTCTTAATAATATAAAAAATATTTTGAAATAACTTAAATCAATAATTTTCCTTCATTATTTTGTTGAAATAATCAATATTCAACATTTTTATTTTAATTTAATTGATGTTCACTTTAGTAAGTAAATAATTTTTTGAATTACGTCCTAAATCAAATTTCCCTTAACTTTTAGGCACCAGGATACGTTTATTTTGTTTCAATATTTATTGTTTTAATCTTAACATAAGCTTTCAGTTTATATTTTTTTAATTTAAAACGTAAGATTTTTTTAGGTAGCAATAATTATATATTCTCTGAATTGTAAATAATATTTTTAAACAACTTTAATCATTAATTGTCTCAATTTATTACTTAAATCTTGTAGTAATTTTTCTGTTACCCATTTATAATAATTATCTTTATTCATATTATTGTGGTAATCACTACTAGAGCTTTGAGCTTCCCATGTTAGTAAAGCATTAGGTACAAAAACTTCTCCTTCATCATGAACAATTATTAAACTTTTTTCTTTACTTAAACTCTGTTTCACTGTACAACATGTGATGATAGTACATAACTTTGCATAGTTTAATTTTTAAATACACACGAACGACCTAATATTGAAGTTTTTTTTTGGGGGGGGGGGGGTCACAGCTCCCATGACCCCTCCTCCCTTGAATCCGCGACTGTGTTGAAAGCATTAGTATTTTCATGGTGGCGTGTAAAAATTGTTCACAGCTCAACAGTGTGTCAAATCAGGAAAAATGAATTTTTTTATCTTAGTTTCAGTTATACTTAAATATGAAATTATTTTTTTGGAAGAAACGAGACAAACCAATTAAATATTGGTTATTATTGGAAACTAATTCTTAACCTTCGTTCAGTGGTCACTTATTTAATCTCATTATTGTATACCTATCGAGTGAACATCATATTTAAAGTTGATTACGTAATACTGTAACAATTAAGAAACACATTAAGTACTGGATTTTCTTATATTTTTTATGTGGAGTAACCACATCTTAATAAATTTGACTTTACTGTTTTTAACTTTAGGGTAACAACGCTATCTATACACAATATTTGAACTTTCAGTTTAAAGCTATTTGAAGGAAGTTTTTTTCAAACCGTTCTAATTTCATATTATAAATATTCCACTCCAATGTTTTTATAAATAGTTCATTATCAACATTGATATAATTAATAATACACACATCATTAAGTAAATATAATTATTACAATGTTTAAATAATTCAACTTTGAAATATCATATTTTTCCTTACCATTTTATTTTGATGGGAGAATTTTATCTTTTCCTTGTACGCAGCAGTTGCAATATGAACTTTTAAGTCTTATTTGTATATTTTTCATCATTTTCTGAAAAAAAAAAAATCCAATAATAAAAAATTAGTTCTATCTAATTTAAAAAACATTATAGAGATTATTAAAATGTTATTTTTTTTTTTAACTCCAAAGTTAAACTAGTTTATTATCACTTGTAACACAAATTTATAAAACGATGACAATTTCTCAACAAATATACTTTAGGTCGTAATTTAATATAACTTTAATAACTTTAACATTTTTGAGATGAATAACAAATGTTCTTTGGTTTAGTCAACTAATAAGTGCCAAAGTAGTCATCTGTAATTGTAAACATTAGATAACTGTTAAGGTACGTTGTATATCTAAATGCAGAAGAAATTATTATATACAGACATTTTTCGTTATCATTAATAAGTATTTTATTAAGTTTTTCTAATCCATTGAATCAACCTAATTAGATTAAACTAAATTAAAATATTAACTCTTTTCTACTAGGTTCTAAAAACATAACCATTTATAGTAAAACTCTATCATATAGACTTTTTTTGCTTTATTCATTTTACAAGAAGTATTTACTATAAATTATCATATTTGTACAGTAAATAGACTCAATTTCTTAAAGAAAAAAATTAATATATATTATAAAAAAACTCAATAGAACTCAAAATAAAAAAAAAATTCTAAGCTATTAGAAATAAACGTAAGTTATTTATAATAAAACGGCGTATTATGTTATCGAGTGTGGCGTGTGGTGGCGTGCTTACTACACAAATATAGCATTGATTTTAGAATATCTAAAAGGTTTATGAGGATCTATCTCCAATATTTTCCGTGGATAGACTCCTTAGAGGGGCGCCAATTTTTTTTTTCGCCGAGGTGCAAAATTACTGAATACGGCACTGGTTAGATGAAAGTGGAATTAAATGTTAAAACGCAAGTTGAATTGAAAATTGAATTGGAAAACGCATGATTGTAAACATACTCATATATCACTCATCAAACGAAATGACGAACGGAACTATTACGCGTTATTTCATTTTTTTTATTCATAAATTTATTAAAAATAAGAACGAATAAAAATTAATAATTTATTTAAGTTTACGATATGTCATATTTGATTCAGGACCACCAAATCGTTTAAAAATTAAACCCCACTCAAAATTCAGGTCTAAGTATGCCATTGTTCTTACCAAACTATTTATATGTACGTAATGTGTGAAAATATACGACTGTGATTGCTGCATTATTCGTATGCTGACCATCACCGATTTAAAAAGCAAAAAAGTGATTTTTGTTAAATACCTTTCTGGCATGTGCATCAACAAAATATATATTTTTCATCCATGTTTGTTTTTAACACACGTCTACGAGCGACAATTTTTAACACAAAATAATATTTCGGGGTGGCCAAAAGCAGTAAGTAGTAACCGATGATTACCTAATCATCATTAAAAATATGCAAATGTAAACGTAAATCGTATAAAATTACACTACGGGTACAACCACTATTAACGCATTTCTTTGTTCGGCTTGACATGGCGTGGTTGACATGCATAATGTGTTAAAATATTATTCCACGATTGAATCTAAATAAACGGCGTATAAGTTAAGATTACGATCTGCGGTGCTCAGTAATACAAATACACCTATAGGTGGTTACCGGATTAGAACAAAAAACACGTGTGAGCGCCATTCCCGTGTATGTCATTCACATGTAAACAAAATACATACCATTTCCAGATAAGTGTTAAAAAATTAATTTACAGTTAATTAAACGAATTTTCCATTCGATATTGTTTGTCAGTTTTCGTCTACACAAATGCTATGCATTAAAAACCAATCGAGTGAAACGGTTCGAATTCAAAGATGAAATCAATATGAGTAAAAAAAAAAAACCAAGAACGTTTTCAAATAAAAATAAAATAAAGCTGGTTGTATTGAATGTATATCATTACACGAGTATTATTGTGTTTGAAAAAAAGAAACAGTGCGTCCCTTCAAAAATCGTAGAAGTATTTTCTTTTTTATCCAATTATTTAGCCTGTGAGAGTCTGAGAAAAAGATGGTGTCTGATAAAAAAGGGAAACCGTTGAAACTATTTTATCTCGTCTAAATGCTGGACATTGACCATTATTCCTGTGGTTTTTCGCCAACAAGTGTACAGTCGATAAACGCATAAAAATCTTCTCGCGTTTACATATCGTTACGCGGTCGTGTTCCAACAAGATAATTTATGTTTTTTTTCCTATGGTCCTCATGTTGTTCGAACATTAAACACGATGCGCAGTGAAGCTAATAAAACAAATAATAACGATAAAATAAATGCCAAACTGACCAAAAAGAATAAAAAAACAAACCATCCAAAATGGTTACGACGACCGTATGCACACACAACTGGGTTGGTACTCGGAGGAGGAGTAAGATTTGCATATAAGTATATGCGCGGTTGTATGTGTGTGTGGGTGTGTGTGTGCGTGAACACACGAAAACAGTGGAAATAAAAAAGGTCGAAAGGAGTTCATCATCGAGAAGAGCTCCTTTGGGTAGATGGCTTGTCGGGCGGCGGTGCAGATTTAAGTGATCGTCGAGGGATCGGTCGAGGCACGGGGTACATGGTTCAGGGTCTCGGCGGCACGGGTTAGGCTGACATTCACTTAGACGGATCTGCTGGCCGTGTACGGGTGAGACGGTACACCGATTGGCGCGCTGGATGCGGCGGCGACGTAGATGGTAGTGGCGGAGTCAGTGGAGGGCGAGACGAATAGACGGGGAAGAGGTGAAGGACTAGGGGAGCGTAGTACGATGTAGCTAGGGATGAGAGGCGCAACGCGGTGCGGACGGAGATTTATTTGAAATTTATGCGACACAACAAGCGGCCGGGGAGTAGTCTGGGCGGGTGCGCCTCTTGGTATCTTTTAAATCGAACGCTCTTGCAAAAATTGCCGCGACCCCCCGTCGCCGCATCACCAGTGCATTTATCGTCCGTCCGTGTGTACATCTCCGGCACCCCAGCATTATTGTACAGTGCGAGTCGCACAAATAATATTGTATTCGTTTTTTTTTTGTGTCCGCTTTTTATTTTCATCACACCGATCGTCGTTACTATTTAGTACACGTCAGTACTGCACGCCGCACTGACGTTTTCGCACTAGGTTCTTATTCTCGCCTCCTCGGCCGTTTCAAGCAATGGTTCGAATTAATAAAAACACATGGACTGGCCACCGTGCCTTGCTTCGCCTGTTTTTGCCTACGCGTGCAGAGGCGGTATTCTAAGTCCCGGTAAAAACATTTTGTAGTTGCTCTACAGACGGTAGCCGCAAAGCTACAAAATTGACGTTTTAACGTTAAAAACCGTTGTAATGTTAATCGAGCGAAGCCCAAACAAATTTTTCGCGTTTAGGGGGTAGGTTAAATTAGTCTGCCTTGGTAAGATAGAAACATTCGAACCGCATAGTGCATCCATTTCACGTGACCGTTGCTACCGCAGCACTGCATCATTTCAGACTTATACAAGTAATTAATCTTTCACTCGGTTCGTATCGGCAGCGGTGACTGTTGACAATTGTAAAAACTCAAACTCAGTGGTCGAACGCGATAATTCATGATTGCATGTAGTATTAGCTAACTGATTTAACTTTGAAACGATTTATTTCAGTTTTATCAACAGTATCGTTATAATTATATATTTCGAAACGTCATGCAGATATATTTTTAAACGATTTACACGTATTATGCGTTTCGTAATAAATCAATAAAGTATCTTACTATATATAATATAGATATATTATCTTAAAGTTACAGCGCAATACTACTATTTAGGTACATATAGTATACTGTATACAACTTAAACATATTATTTATAATCAACTTTGAGTATTCAACCATCTTACGTTTAATATTTATTTATTTAATTAATTTAATTAATTAATATACGCGATGCAGCTTTCTATACAATTATTAATAATGATACAATATTAAATAATGATACAATTTTGAAATGTATACAATTAAATGGGTAATATATGATTAACAGTTATTGAGTAATTGACAAAAATGAAGAAGAAAATAACAATTTACCTATAAAAAGAGAAGGAGGGGTCCGAGTTTGCTTTTTGCATGCAACGAAAAAGAGGTTGGTTAACTGAATAATTTGTTCGAGACGTAGGGATATGGAAAGAAACAGAATGGCGCATGAGACGTGATGGGGCTTTAAAATTAAGTTGAGATAACAAAGAGGGTGAGTCAATTTTCCCATTGAGTAAATTTTGTAGGAATGATAAATTAGCAACATGCTTATGGTCGACTAAAGAACTTAGGTTTAAGTGTGATAATACAGGAGCGTAATTATGGAAGGGGCAATCAATGTTTTGTACGTAACTGACAAACTTTAAGAATTTTCTTTGAACTCTTTCAAATTGAAGAGAGGTTGAAGCAGTATTAGGGTCCCAGAGGAATGAACCGTATATAAAGCGCAATATAAAGCCTTGAGGGGTGTTGATAATTTAAAAAGCGCTGAAATACGTATAATAAAATCTAGAGTTTTAAATCTAGTTTTAAGTGTAAATTAGGATTAAGAGTAGGAGTAAGAATAAATCCTAAATCACATACTGAACAATTAATAAAAGATATGTAGTTATTATTGATGAAGTAAGTAAATTTAAAGGGATTTTTTGTGTGATCAAACGTCATAGAATGATATTTATTAATATTAAATGGTAAACCTAAAGTATTAGCTCAGGACACCAGTCTGTTTAAATCACTCTGAAGAAGGTTATAATCATTTACTGAATTTATACGCAAAAATAATTTCATGTCATCAGCAAATGCTAAAAGTTTAGATTTTCATAATACTTGGTTGGCACTATTAACGAAAAGGGAGCAAGGAGATAAATAACCTTCTTGAGGTACACCAGAGGGTACAATAGTAGAAAGTGATTTAACACCATGAATCTTGACTATTTGCCTCCAATTGGAAATAAATGAGTTAATCCAAGACTGCAGAGGTTCCCCTAGACCAGAACGAACAAGTACATATAATAGAGCATAGAGAT